TCTGGATTGGATAATTAGTTCCTTGGTAAAGATTAATACTTTATTTTATGATAGATAATTACTTTTTTAGTTTAAGGATCAGTGCTTTGAAACTAGATACCCTGAATAAAGGTTTATTACCCAAGTTTGGGTTAAGGAGCAAATCTTTTCATTGTTCAACGGATTGGTATAATTAATAAGATGAGGGATTAAGTTATTTATTAACTCAATTTTTAATGGAAGTGTATATTTTAGTTACTAGTAAATTCATTAAATTGTATTGAAAAGAAAAAAATGTTCTCTTATATTAATGAATTAATTATGATATATAATGATTTCAGGTTCCTCACAACTTTTTTAAGATTAGTAGATTATGAAGCCCCTTGCATTTCGTAGTTATAAAAGCATAATTGATGTTACATATTTTATAAAATTTTAGGATGATAATTGTTATGATGTGTGCAATGTCGTATAACAAATCTACCTCCTGAAAATGTTAAAGACAGTTTTGGGTGAATTCAGATGATTTTAGCTTTCCTAAAGGGTCTGTTTAGGGTTTATTTTTTTTTTGTAAAACCAATGATTTTTTTAACAACCTTTAAAGTTTCTTGAATTTTATGATAAACTATTGTGCTATTGTTATGAATTATTGTTAAATGTCATGTAATTTATGTGTGTTTTTGAATTATTTGAATATATAAATATTTAATGTTTTTGCAATTTTAATCTAGATTTCTAATGTTTATTAGTTTTGTGTGATGAAATTTTATATTGTGATGGTTTTTGTATAATTTATGGTGTGATTGTAATTGTTTAAAATATTATTTTGGCATAATTGAATATTGTATATATTATTTTAGGATGATTTTGAATTCATAATTGTGAAATTTGGCTTGCGAGATTTTTATTTTGGGATGATTGAATTTTTTTAAAAACATTATTTATGATAATTTCATGCGGTTAATGGTGTGTGAATGATTGAGTGATTTTTAAAAACATTATTTATGATAATTTCGTGCGGTTGTTAATGGTGTGTGAATGATTGAGTAAAATTATCAATATCAAGTTTATGGAATTTTATGATTTTAATGCAAATCTTATTTTGTTGATGTTGTTATTAAATTGTTGAATTTAATGTATTTGGCATTTTAATATGTTAAATGTTTTTAATTTATGAATATTATTGGGAATATTTCATGATTATATGAAAGTTGTATGTACACATTACATATAAAATATGTGTATTTGTTTTATGTTATATATATAAGTTAGTCTTAGTATATTTCTTTTGTTGGGTAACGATTGGGTCGGGTTGGCTTAACAAGAATTCACAAAAGCCCAATGTATCAGGCAATATCCTTTGCAGACATGCAGACATGTGTTCAAATTTTTTTAAAAAAAATTAATAAAAATGGTATTTGTATTAGTTGTCCCTTATAATTGTTAATCAACCCAAAATGAAATGGTCATATTAGGTTTTGTCTTTCAGATATTGATTAATGAAACAAAAGATTAAATAATAAAAATAATAAAATAAAAATATTTTTAGATGTTAATTATTTCTATTAAGTATTAATTAATCCAAGTTGCAATGATCTAATATTGAATCTATCTTTTTAGATGTTGATTAATAATTTTTTGATATAGCTAAAATTCTGATTAATAATATTTTAGTGGCCCAAGGATAGAATGATCTAACATTAGGTTTTTTTTTTTTTGGATGCTATTTGATAGATAATGTACATCTTATAACCATATAATGTACATCTCATAGCCATTATTTCTATATTTTTCAAAATCAATTTTTTATACTCATCATTTTTTGAATAACTCAGGATGGAATGATCTAAAATTAGACTTTATATTTTGAATGTTATTTAGATGATTAATCATGATTATAATATCTAAATCTTATATTAAATGATTGTATTATATGTTAAATAACCTAGTAAGTAATGGTTTCAGTATCAATCATGTCCTTTGGATTTTACTTGGTAAATAAATTTTTTTTTTAACATCTTGTGATATTAAAAATTAAATTGATGATCCCATTTTTTTTCAAATGACCCAAGATAGTAATGTTCAACATTAGGCTTTTTTTTTATGTTCTTTTGTGGATAATGGCAATACCTTGAAATTCATATTAATTTAGGCAAAACACCCTAACGTATATTTATAATTTAAAATATATAATATTACAGTTTATCTTAAATAGGATGTATAAGATGATGTCTATCTTTTCTATTACATAATCAACCTTTACCTAGAAACTCTGAAAATCGATTAAGGTTTATAATTACCATAAAGCTAGGTAGTTATTTTTATATCTAATTTTACCCATTTACACACTCAGTTCTCCTCGATTTCCATATATAAGAATATGGTTTGAAACAAATACCCAAACAATGGCATGGAAAGTTTGACAAGGTTATGTTTTTAAATGAACTCAAAATCAACGAAATTGATAAATATGTTTATGTGAAAAATATAGATAAATTTTATGTCATTGTGTATCTCTATCTAAATAATATGTTAATTTTATATAGCAATGATCACATTATCAACTTCACTAAGTAAGTATTAACTAACAAGTTTAATATAAAGGACTTAGGTGTTATAGAAATCATACTATAACTAAAAATTTCTAAGATATCTAATGGATTGATATTGTTTCAATTTCATTTTTTTAAGAAAATTCTTAAGAAATTTTTTAAAGATGACTATAGCATAGTTAAAATACCAACTGATATAAATATACGTCTATTAAAGAATAAAAATAAGAGAATAAACCAATTAGAATATTCTCAAATAATTGGATGCCTAATGTATGTTATAACCTATATAAGGCCTAATATTTCTTACTTAGTTAGTAAATTAAGTATATTTACAAGTAATTCAAGTATGGATCATTGAAAGGTAAAAAAAAAAGGTACTCAAGCATTTAAGGTATACTTTAGACCATGAGTTGCACTATATTGGTTACCCAGCAATATCAAAAGGATATGGTGATGCTAATTAGATATCCGATACTAAGAATTCAAAATCCACAAATAGATATGTTTTCACACTTCGTAGAATAGTTGTGTCATGGGAATCCTCCAAACAAACATGTATTGCTAAATTCATGATCAAATTAGAGTTTATTGTTGTTAATAAAGATGGAGATGAGCTTAATGGATTCATAATTTCTTAGAGAATATTCTATATTGGCCAAAACCACTATCAACTTTTTGTGTCCATTGTTATAGAAAATCAACAATTTGAAGGGTATAAAGTAGTATGTACAATAGAAAGTTTAGATATATATGTCATGGACATAATATTGTTTAACATTTGCTCTCGAATAAAATCATCTCCTTTGACTATGTAAAGTCAAAGAAAAAATATTATGGATCCACTAAATAAAGATTTGTTGAAAGAGCTTGTGTATAAAATCTTTAAAGAATAAAAAAGTATAATGATGTTAATCATACCTAGTTAATTGAAGATCATCTATGTTCAAATAAAAAACTAAGTTATATTGTTAATCATACCTAGTTAATTGAAGATCCTAGGATCTATGTTCAAATAAAAAACTAAGTTATGTAACTTTCTCGATAACACTAGAAAATTATTAATTCCTGTTTATTTCTATGATAAAATAATTGTGAGTTACAACATGATAAAATCTGAGCTGAGCTTTTAATGATTTTTATATCTTGGTACATTGAGTGGAGTAAAATGAAATAATTTTATTGAAAGATCATTTATATGAGTGAAAAATAGTTGTTTCTTTAAGAATTTCAATAAAAACTAAATTCTTTAAAGTACTTATGAATCTAAAAGTTATTTAGGATCAAAATAAACACAACATTGAGAACCAAAGGAAGTTTCTAGGTAAAGAGCTATGGAAGTACTATTGTCTATGTTTATATAAAGACTAAAAAACTCAAGACATCACGTTTACTCTTTAACCAAGTAAATCCGATAATATTTTACTAAGGTTCAAAACCAAAAGCTACCTATCTTGATGTAATTATCTATCAAATAAATATCTCTCAATAAATCTTTGAGTCATTTTCAAAATGATGAGATAATTTTCATTAATATGGAGGATTGTTGGAAATTTGTTTTAATTAATATGATTTAAATAAATTATGAGTGAATGAAAAATTAATCTTAAAAAATCCTTGCTTTTCTCACTCAAAGAACTCTTGGTTTTTCTAAATTTAACTCTTAATTTATAGTGACTAATCAAAATTTAATAATAATTAGAATTATTTATTTAATCTTTGGCTTCTAAAATTCTATTTTCTAGTTGTTTGGTAGTATGTTAACTTCTATTTTTTAGCCACTCACAACTACTTTTTATACTAACAATCATATAATTATGTTTCAAATCTTAGTTTTGTAGAAGTTAAAATAGAATGTTTTTCATTTATTTTGCTTGCAAAATTAATATCGAAACAGTTTTTAATCAAACACATATATTTTAAAATATTTTTTTAATTGTAATGAAAAGTTTTTTTAAAAAAACTTATTTTTTAAGAATTATAACTATAAAAGCTAGTATAATAATATCAAACATAAATTTTAAAGAGGTGAATGTTATTTCTTACTAGACAAATTTTAAATGATGTTCTATAACCATAATTGTCATGATTGATTGTCCATCTAGAACAATAAAAATAAAATTATTTAATTCAGATCAATAATTAATTCAATTCAACTATAAACTTCCTGGTTCAGGCTTCGAATCTTGTGTTTTTCAAATCAACCAATCAACAAGATTAACAAATAATGATTATAGCAATTAGACACTTTATAAGAATAAAGTTTCCAACTTTTTCCTCTTTTTTTTTTTTTTCATGAACTGTTTCCAACTTTTTCCTCTTTTTTTTTTTCATGAAAAGATTTTCAAATTTAAAATCGCTTCTTATTTATTTTTTAACAAGAAAAAAAAAAAACAGTTTCTAATAAACCTTTTAATTAACCTGTAAAAAACCAGAAACAAATTTCTTTTTATTAATATTTTTTCATACTAAAGCTTAATTTGCTGGTTTGGTTCAGACATCCAAAAAAACCCAGCACTGCATAAAAAAACAACAAAGAAATTAAGGTACATCCTTAATAAAGAACAACCAACCAAGACACACCAAGGTAGCTAAAATTTCTCATTCAGTCTCCTCCACAAAAGCCTCGATTCGAAGAAGAACGAACCCGACAGCAACTCCAACAAGTACAAGCCCATTCATGACTGCTGCTATCCTAAATATCTCACCAACATCGCTACAGGTTGAAGAGAGTGCACCTCCACCTCCGCCTTTACCTTTCGATGGAGCTCTCAATGAGCTCACAATCTTTGCAAAAGACTGCTCAGTGCCTACCGACAAACCTAATGAACTCACACTGTTGTGAGCTTTTAGCCCACCAAAAGAATTCAGTCCTGTTATGTAATTTACATTGGTTTGCTTCCTCTTGGGACTGCTAACTGCGGAAGCAACAAGTGTTGGTGGAGAAAATGTTGCTGAGGTTGTTGCCATTGACACAAAACCTGCTACATATAATGAAAGATCGAAATAAGAACAGCCTTTGTATACAGGAAACAGAAATAAGGAAGTTAGTAATTATATAATTTAATGAGATAATCATTAATTTTATGCTCGACAGAGGAGGAATCTGTATCTTACCTTGTTTTTTATGGTGTCTGTCTAGTTAGAGGTATAGCAAAGTATGATTGAAAAGAAAGGAGATGGAGACTTTTGTATGGAAAATAAGGAGAGAGGATGGATAAGGCAGGGAGAGGATGAATGGTGGACAAGCAGATTAGACGGACTCCAGGCTACAGAATATTTTCGAGGGAAAGAAAAGATAGGGCACCTTAAAAAGTAGAATGCTAGCCAGGTAAATAAAAAATGAGGCCACGGGGTCCGGTTTGTAGAGAAGCTGGTCGACAAATTTGAATAATTTAACAGTCCAGAGCTTTCATGGTCTCCAGTTCTATTACATACCTGAAGAGAATTCAGACCCAGGCCCAATTTCTAAGTAGTGAGCATGTACGTGAACAATGGCAATGGACGTGGGTTCTTCACTGCTGTAAATTGCTTTGAAAAAACTTATCTTTGACCAGTCCCCTCGGCAACACTTTTTTTAATATATATATATATATAAACCTACAGAATGAAAAAAACAATGAAAAAAAATCTAAATTATTTACTAAATCAGATTAGCTTATCAAATTTAAAATTAATATTATAAAAATTTGATAATTAAATATATTAACAAATTAAATTAAAAAATAATTAAAAACTAAAAAAATATTTTAAAAAAAAATTAATTTAAAAAATAAAAAAATCCTACAAGAAAAAAAACTAATAAATTTTTTTTTAATTAACTAAATTAACTCATCAAATCATCAAATCAAACTAAACTATAAACATAAAATCTATATCATAAAAATTTGATAACTTAATAATTAAAAAAAATAAAATTATAGATTACTTTAAAATTAACTAGAATAACTCATTAATCCTAGAATAACTCATTAATCCTGGAATCACTATAAAAATTTAATATCTAAATAAAAAAATTAAATTAAACAAAAAAATTAATTAAAAAAAAAAATATTCTAAATTAACTTATCAAACCCAAAATTTATATAATAAAAATTTAATAACTAAATAAAAAAATTTAACACTAACAAATTAAATTTAAAAACAAATTCTTTTTTTTTT